ATAGATTGGACATCCGCAAGAACTACTTCACAGTTAGGGCGGCTAGGAGCTGGAACCAACTTCCAAGGGAAGTGGTGCTGGCCCCTACCCTGGGGGTCTTTAAGAAGAGGCTGGATGCCTACCTGGCTGGACTCATTTGAGTCCCGTTTCTCTTTTTGGGGTTTTTTGTTGTTCTCCCGCCCTGGCGGGGGGTTGGGCTAGAAGATCTACTAGGTCCCTTCTGACCCTTAATCTATGAATATATATAATGATACATACATGTGATCCTTGGAAAAAGTCTGGCAATTTGGTGGATTTATGTCAAATAATTAGAATAGAAACTAATCAACATCTGTATATTGGTATGTTTCAAATGCATTGATATTATACCAGAACTCTGTATCCAAACCCCAAAGCATTTTGGAAAAGTTCAATCTAGTTCCCAACTACTATAAAATTGGAGTAAAGGCCTAGGTGCATCTTAGGGTTGGTTAACTATTATTGAAACAGCTATTTTTTTTATTGGTACTGCCTTCATTCAGGACTCCTTACAGCCTCTGTCCCTCCCAGCACCCTACTCATCTGGCATCAGTTTACAGCTCAGAGGCCGCTTTTAGTTCTTAGAAAGCACAGAAAGCTTTTACTAGAACAGGCAACAGACTAGTGGTAGTTGCTTTTGGTCCTCCAACCACTGTCCCACTAAATCTCTCTCTTCTGAGCTTTGCAGCTTAAGAAATGGAACTGGATAAGTTTGATCGCAATTCAAGTTTCTAATTTAAACATGAAAGCTACTTGAGTGTCCACTGAAAGGTGTCACTGAGCATAAGAGGTGAAGCAGTAGGTTCCCCTTAAAGTTTCATCATAGCTGGAATCCAAAAGTGATGTTTTGAAGGGAAATCACCTGTTTTTTTCCCCAGCCCATTCTTAAGAGGCAGGTGGACAACTTTTAGATTAAAGGTAGCTTAACTTCCAGCTGGGATAAGGCTCTCAATTCACTTTCTTAAAACTGCACTCTTTGCAAGTGTGGAGACAGGGAAAGTAAGGAGAGCTGGTGGAAAAAAGTCTGGCACAAAAAGCAGATTAAGTCTATAAAAGGCTTAAGCTTCTTCGTTTTGAAATTTTAAAAGCAGTGGTTCTCAACCTTATACTCATAGTACCCCTTGTCATATTCAAGGCACTCCTCCATAACTTCTGTAAATTGAGTAGCACCTCATTTAAAAAACTAATTTATTTATTACAGGGTTTGCACCTTTGCAAAAAGGTCAGGCGATTACCAGTGGGGGACCAGCCAGACAGGGAGAACGCAAGCCACTCAGGGAGCCCCAGTGCCTTGGCTGAGAACCACTGTTCTAAAGAGAGAGTACAAGCAGAGAAACCTACAGCAGACACTGCACAAGGGAGAAATGAGGAACAAAACATTTTTGCCATCTTCATCTCACAAACTTTCCTCCACTCAGTTGTTGAAATCAGCTTACCTCCTTTATGAAAACCTTTGGGAAAAAAATCCTCCTGCAGCTACCACTTCTCATTCATAAAATATAAAGCAACCAAGCCATCAATCTTGATTGGCATATCCAAAGCACAGAAGCATTAGTAAAAAGTTATAGTTTTCTGATTAAAACAGAATTGCAAGTCTCTAAAGAATACTGCTAGAACTCACATGAGCTAGCCAAATTCCAGCTCATGAAATTACATTCTGTCTAGCTAAATCTTGTTGCAGTTTCAATTGGCATGGTATTATTCTTTGCTTCTCCTGTTAAACTGTTACTTATGGCAGCTGTGCTGTTTAAAAGACTTTTGTAATCCACTCCAGATACAGCTGCTTTTTTCTCACCTTTTCATTGCTGTATACTTTTCATGAAAAAAGAGTGACAAAAGAAGCCATTAAGGAACTGGCTTATTGGCAGAAAAAGTTACAAGCATCAGTTATACTTCTAAGTTTGGTAATGCATTCTACAAATGCATTCAGTAAGTGTCTGAAATGATGGATTTAATTGATTTCCCTGTGTCAGTGTGTCACAGAAACTTCCTGTCCTTAAGCAAACATTGCAAATATATAGAAATACTTTAAATATGTCATATTGTATAACACTTATTTTTATTAAAACAGCTGCATTATAATGAATTCAGTAACTGAATAAGTGTCACCAACTTGGCTCAGCAAGTTCATGCCAGGTTTGAATATTATTTCTTTTAGTTACATTATTTTCTTAATATTTTGAATAAACACAACAAACAAGAACTACTTTGACCATCAAACTAAAACAGACATATATCATATTTTTTACACAAGGAGCTGCCAGTTACCTTGAATGAAGAAGCTGCAGGTACTGTGATTAGTAATGGACTAGACAGGCTTTTAACTAATGTCTGCCAGTTTGAAATCTGTACCTAATTAGTAATTCACTCTTTAGTTAATAGTTTTAGAAAAAAGGGCCTGGAATGAGTGGCTATGGAGAGCAAACTATCTCCCCACCCCCAGGTGATTTTCTCTACATTAGTGTTGAGACAGATCAGCAGGTGGAACCACTTTTTGTGGAAAAGGGCAGGGCTTTCAATGTGTTCAAAGCTTCATGGGGGCAGACATGCTGACCCCGTGCAATCCATTATGCACCATTTGCACACTGAAAAGCCCTATGACACAATGCCACTGGCAAAAGTAGAAGCTCTTACTTGTCAAATAAATACTGTCTGATAGTACTGTTATTCTTTAGAGAGAGCTCATTTGTGGAAGAGGAATTCCTTTCCTGCTTCAGCTAGTGTATACAAAGGGCATTGGCATTGTCAACAATCCTCTCTCAAAGAGCTATCCTTTAGAGTTTTATTTTATGGCTCTCTTCATTGCCCAGAGCTATCATTCTTCCAGAAAGATTCCTTTCTTTCTTGTACACTAAGAGCTGAAGGTTGAAAATATATTTTAAAATCCTCGAGGCTGATAATGGCACATTACAGGAAAAGAACGGAGAGGCTGAACAAAGGAAGAAACTCATCATAAAGCAATCCAACTAGCCCATTTTTTTCTAGAAGCACAGAGAAGGCTACTTCATTATTTTATCATTCAAAGCCGATTCTACATATCTCCCTGTCACTCTGCCAAAATGAGGCATGAACTGCCTTCATCTAGAAGTGTCTGCAGAAACTCTGTTATTAACCCTTTTAGGAAAAAAACATACAAAACCCTTTTTCTTTTAAAAGTGAAGCTTAAATGATACCATACCCTTGAAATGCCAACCTTAATAGTCAGGTATTGTTGTTATTATAACATGATGTAACCCCGGGATGGGCAAAATGTGGCCTACTGGCCCGCCAGGCCATTCTATCCAGCCTGCGGGTCCCCT